GTGTCCTTTCTCCAGTTGGCAAAATCCTCAGAAGAGCAGCAAACATGACCAAAAAAAAGGCAATTAATTCATTTACCAGAGACAGACAAAATAATTAGGGAAAACACAACTTCAAGGCTATTTTCCAGAATCCTTATTGAGGTTTGTATTCCGTGTCTCGTGACACTACCCATCATGACACAACCACGCAGGTCGCACCAGGCAATCACAGCATCTCCTACCACCGCTATCCTCTACCTTTCCAAGGGTTTAGGGTTTGCTCATTTCTACCCCCCGTCAGTTTTTTCAACACATAAAAACAAGGAACAACCAACTCCGTTGTAGGCTTTGTTCTATTCTAGAGGTTATCTGGGGGACAAAACGCTTCTCTTCTCCAACACCACTTTCAGTTTCAAAAGCTTTTGTGCTGCAGCCTGTCAAGGATTCCTGGAGACTATCCGCGACCTCACTGCTCAGGTCAACTGATCCTTTTCTAGAGTGACGTGACAAAACCCAAACTCAAAATTCTACTCAACACCTCGGCTTTTCCTCTCTTAATAAAATATTTCCACTACTTCCAATCACCAAAACACTAGTTTCAAACCAAAACAAAATGGTCATTATTATGCCATGGATCACTTCTCCCTTACCATTTTGTACGTTTCATCATGTCGCTTTGTGAGTTTCCACAATAAATGTATTATACTAAGCACTTGCTGCATAAGCTGCTGAGATTCTGATTCCAAAAGGTTGCCAAGAATGGGAGCTGATTGTGCAGGAGATGCTTCAATCCAGCACTCAATCAGTAATGGAATTATTATCTCAATAAAACCTTTTAAGTTTTCGGCCGAGGACAGGCCTTTTTCTGCACTGTCCATTACACTTGCCAGAGACCTAAACAAAAAAGAAAAAAGATAAAGATCACGCCTTTAAAAACAGATTAGAGCAATACCACTTCCCTGCTTTCTGAATAAAAGCAAAAATTACTTTTTTAACACATTAAATGCTTGCTTGCTTCCTTGCTAGATATTTCAGTAAGGAAAAAAAGGTATTTCAAACCATCTACAACAAACCCACTCCCGAGTCCCCCTGCAAGTTTGTGTGCTTCTGTAACAACTTCGCTTTCAGTATTTCTTTCCCCATTATTATACAGAAAGTTTATGAAGTGGAGAAATACGATCTGCATTATCACATCACCTTCAACCAACAGATAAGAACTCACGGCACTCGGCACAACAAAATACAAAAGCGTTAAGTTTTCAGCTCCTTGGAGCAAAATAAGGAAGCTGATCACAAAGTACTGTCAAATGCGTGAGGTTTATTACAGTTAATAACCATCTCCAGCTGTAATAAACATAGTGGTTGTCATAATATGTAAGTACTGGGGGGGGAAAAGCATTCTGCAAAAACACAACGTTGGTTCCCATCTGACGATTAACTATAACGCTCTGGACAGCAACTAGGTGGAAAATAATTACAATTACTTGATAATGAAGTTAGACAAAAGTTTAAATTTAAATTTAAACAACAAAGTTTAAATGAAAAGCACATCTCCCAGAAAGCAAGAAAACCGAGGACTCCTCCTCCCCTCCCCCCCCCCTTTACAACGCACTTCATTTGTGTTTCAAAAGGAATAATCAGCACCAATGACCAAACCCTGCTCCTGGATAAATTCAGGATATTCGTATCCATGTTAAAAAGAAGGTTCTTTAAAGGAAGAACCCCCTGAATAACTCTTGCTAACTTTAAGCAATACAGAAGCTTCTGAAAGGGTTTCCAAATAACAAGAGCCCTTTTAAAAAAAAAAGAAAAAAGGCAACAATAATTTCCACTGATGATTTCTGACATTGTTTCTTTTCTGTCATGATTTTGTTTTCTAACTTCCTAATATACGTAAAATTGGTAGGCTGAACCTCCTGTTAACCTCCTTCCTATTTCAGTGGATGTTCTCTGAGTGATTCTTCTTTACATATACTCCCAAAACAGGTTCTGAAAAACTATTTGCTCTCTTTCCACAGACAGGCAGAGAACTTCTGTTTACAAATGATTTTCATTTCATACTGGATTAAAGAGGTAAAGCAGTTTTTCCTGGTCATCCTGTCATTTCCACATTACCCAATTAGTTAAACCCTTCGACGAAGTGAGATTTCTCATGCTGCTGCAATCATCTACAACACGCACATAACAGAAAATTTTACCCTGTCACTTCTCTCCGGTTGAAATTGGTGTCTCAAGAAAACTACTAAACCAAAACAAACCCAAATATTAACCGAATGGAAAAGAAGTGGGGAGAAAACATCTGCAAAGGAATAAGAAGAAAGTGAGAGACAAATGCAGGCTCTTTTTCAAGGAAGGCAAGATGGGAGAAAGACTTTAGATCTCCAGCACAAAAGAAAATGGACAAGTGGAAGCACAACTGGTCAGTTTTGTCTTGTACCTACCACAGCTATCAGACATCTTCAGATTCCATAAAGCCTAGCATTAACTGCAGCAACCAATACACGCAGCCAATGTAATTTGGCTTATTTGTCCCTTTTGTGTTGCTCTCTGTCCCTTCCATGCCACAGACACTGCAGTAAGGACACCAGTTTCCTTCAGACTTCAAAGAGTGTTTAGGGCGGACAGTTTTGACTTAAGACACTTAACTCTCAGTCATCTAAAGACAGGGCAGACAGATCCCACCTTCCAGCTATAACCACATGAACTCCAAAGCGTCACCGGACAAGCCAGTTGATGCTGAGACCAAAACCTCCCTGAAACAGCCCGGCTGTCCTGTAAATGCTACACATGGCAGGACGACACGCTCAGCTGAGACTCTGAAATGGCAGGAATTGGCTGAAATACTCTGAAGCAGCGGCCAGTCTTTAACTGTTTCTCTGAAAACAATACCTGACATTACACCAAAGCTCTGGAATCCAAGCAATTTATTTCTGGAACACAAACAAATCCCCCCATTAAACAGCGAACAGCGCACCAAACCTGAGAAGCTGCCAACACACACCTGACGATTCCTCCCACAGCCTAAACGCACGCACCCAACTATTTCAGTGCTTTTCTGAAACAAGGGATGGAAAGAGAAGGCAGGATCCGTGCCAAAGGGATACTCCACCCAGCTGCCGAAAGCATTTGGGCAAGAACCCTTAACGCAGCTTCCACGCGCTCCTGCAAAAGAAGCCCCCGTCTGTCGAGATAAGACACCTCCAAATCTTCAAGGTTAACAACAAAAGGGGTAAGTAAATTCCGATTGCCAGTACCAGATGATGACAAAGTATTACTGTAAGCTGTCCAGAATGCATTCGATTAGTGCAATACCCTTCGCAACACGGTCTCACTGGAACTGGGAGGGCTTGAATTAAAGCGTTAATCTTTTTGTCACGTATCCGTTATCACTACTCTTTAACGGCAAGGTGGCTCTCGGAATCACTACAAAGCGTATTACCTTCATATGGGCATGAAATACCGTTGAGGGGAGTTGCAAGATATTTGTGTGCCTCTTAAGGCGTCATTTTCTTTAAAATGCCAGTATTTTTATCAAGCAGGACCAAACAAAAGAAAACCATGTAACACATCTGCCATTTGACAGTAAGAGGACAACAGAAATTCAGCAAAGGGAAGTCAAGGAAGCGTAAAAGAAACGGAAAACAAGGAAATAACTTTCTGCGGCTTAAAATAGGAGAAGTCATTGGAAGTTAATAAGCTTTTATGGCTCAGAGTCTAAGCCAGGTTACTGTCCTCCTTTTTTGTGTGCACTGCCAACTGCAGCAAAGACCCACTCAGTACACCAAGTGAAGTGTATTTTCCATTTCTATCTGAGGCACAGGTCACACCATGCACATTTATCCACTATGCTTCGTCTTCCATTTTGGTCTCTCAAGTCGTCTTCGCTTTTCTCTGCGGCTTCATTCTGTCCTTTCTCAGCAGAAACGAGCAGCTCTACCGTTTCTCTGCAGCACCACTTCCAGTCCAAAAAAAAAAAAAAAAAAGATGACAGACCCTGGTATCACCACGTTGAAGCTGTGAAGGCTTTCCCTTCTTCCACATCTGAAACGAGTTTGATGCAAAAAGCAGCACAGTCAGCATGTAGGGCAGAAGATGTATTCTAATCATCTCCTAATTCACTGTAATCTTTAATCCACAGACAGCAGGAATACCCAGCACACAACAGTAAACAGTAAAGCCTTAAAGAGTTGTTGAACCATCTGGCATTCCAAGCTCAGTGTCCACATTTTTTAACCAAATACCAGTACTGCCAACTGGTTCTGACAATCCCTTTCTGCAATCACTAGGTAAGCGGCGAGGTGCCATCCCTACCCAACAAACTTGCGTGATTAAAAAGACCCAGGAACTTCAACAATTCAGCATACTAATAGCGGTGTTTGGAAGCCAACTTTTTAAAAAACAGAGTTGAAACTTACTTGCAGTATCGCTGATGAGGCCGTCAATACACGCACACCGCAATTAGTTACTTATGGTTTGGTCAACTCATTATCTGTAGTTAGGACTCGATTATTTGTGCATTGAGTTCTTTAAACAAAACCACACACACCGTTTGAGATTTTGGAAGTGCTCAAGGAGCACGACAGATGTTTTGCACCTCTGATGAGAGGTAATTTCTGCCCTTGCAGTAATGGCCACAGCGGAGGCCCGGGAATGCCTGTAGCAGGCCCCAGTTGGGATTGGAAGAGACAGAATTAAACATCTCCAGATTACCAGCAAAGATGTCAGGGGCAAACACAAAAAAAGATTTCAGCAGCAAATACAAAAGCCAACACAGTAACTTCTGCTCTTAGAACTTCACACTTATCCACTGAAACAAGCTGTACTGGCCCTTGGCACAAAACGAGCATACCAAAAATACGCATAAATGCAACAAAACGAGAACGTTTTAGTACCTTCCGCAGATGCCCCTTCTCTTGCCGTTCTTCTGCCGTCAGCTTGCCTTGCCAATCTCGCCTTGGAGTCCAGCAACGGTTCCTTCTAATCTTCTGGCCCCTCCTCACGCTCGCAAACGCCTTTTTGAAAGTATTTATAACCACAAGGGGATCACGATGTTTCACCACAATTCAGCTCCTCAGAAAAGCGGAATCCAATTCAGGTGACACCAGACGTTACAGTTTGTTTCCCGACCTTGGATACAAGGCACCTACAGCTATTACAGGGCACAGTGTATCACACGTTGCGTATCATTCAGGGCACGATACAGAGGGCTCTGACACACGGGGGTGGTCCACAATTGTGCACTCTGACCGCGGAGATGAAGTCCGTGGGGCGGTTTTGTGCTCAGCACTGGACCACCCCACCCACCTCGAGCGGGCTTCACTGCTCTGGTTTGCAACAACAGTTTTGCCTGCAGCAGATATTGCTGGTCATGACTGAATTCTCAGGCTAACAACCACTTCTATAAGCATCAGCTGCAGAGTTTACTTTGCTTAATATGCCTTTCCTGTCCCTACCACAAGTACTGTGCTGTCTAGGAGAGCGGGAATGGTCATTTGTGTGTCTCCACAACAGAGGCAGAGAGCACCCCCTAACCTAGGCCAATACCTGTGCTACTGAAAGAGAACGCCTCTTCTGCATTTCATTATTTGAAGACATGAGAGGGACACAGCAATGGAGCAGGCAGGGGGGTTTATATTTATACCCTGTTCTGTCACTGACCTCCTAAATGAATGTGGTATAACTGCTTTACACCCCTTATTCAGTCTCCCCCAGCAGTAAGACAAGCATTGCGGTTGCTCTTCATACCACCTTGATATCGACAGATTGGAAGTGCTGTGTAACAGCTAAACAGTGTCTGGTTTTCGAGTCATCATTCTAGGTCTCCTACCAGTAGGTACGTGACACCCACAGTAATGCAGATACACGAGAACGCCGAGGTTTAAAAAGGTACCATAAAGTGGGGAGGGAGGTTCCCCTCTAGATTGAGGAGTGGGTGAATCAGAAAGGAAGAAGTCACGTTGGTTGGTTATTTCTCCCTCAACTTCAGCTCAATCTGTTCAGAGTACTACCAAGAGACACACAAACCTTCCTGTGCCTAAGCACACTGCGCTTTCCTCGGTATTCATCAACGTGTCTCGGATGAGACACCTTTTGTCCATAGTGAAGACAAACTGGTGAACGGATTGAAAATATGCAGAACTGGAAACTCAGCAGAACTTCATACAGTCAGACATATCAGACATGCTGCCCTTTTTAAAGGGAGTGATATTCAAAGAAAATAAGACTCCCAAACTTAGGATAGACTCTTGAAGGTAAAACCACAAAATTTCAGCAAAATTAATTACCACAGTGTAAGCAACAAGCTTATGTTCAACGTAAAGAAATTTGCCTGCTCGCCCCCAAGTCTGACAGCCCACATCAATCTGCAGCCCTCAGTTTGCATTCCAAAAACAAAAATAAAAAAAATGCTGGAGTTGGTCTTCCAAAATTTTTACAAATAGCACAAAATAAAGCTTTTATTTGATAACGGGAGAGTTCATGACACACATACAGCACGGTGATCTGCTGAGCATTTCCGTATGTTTCAAGGCACTGCAGTAAGACTGCCCATTACACTAAACGCCCCAAAATATGGCTTGGGGACAATCCCACCACAAAAATTAAATCATTGTCTTCAACAGCAACAAACCAGTTTAACACTGTGATCATACCGCTGACATTAACTCCCGGATTAGTGAACATTTTCTCACCTCAGTCTAAATGACGAGTTGATCTTTGGTCGTAAGCCGCCATTTTCAAACAGCTGTATATGTTGCTGATTATTTGCATGGACCTTCCACGTTACGTATATTGGGTTCCTCACAGAATGAGGGCTGTCCTTTTGTTCTTGCAGCCCCTCATCCTCTATTTCAGTGGATCCATCGACCACCGCTTGGAGAAATTTCTTGAGCCTGGTCAGTACATTCAACCGCCACTGCTGAGAAGTCACTCTGCGATTCGGGTTAACAGAGAGCATCCAGGAAAGTTTCTCTCTGCTTTTCAGTCTTTTTGACAGTTGCTGGTGAGAAATAAGCTCTACAAAATTCTTCAACAATATACTGCTGCGGTCTGTGAGAAGAGCTGGGTACGCTTCCAATAAAACGTCCAAGACTTTCAACGAATCTTCCTGAATTCCCTCACTGATATGAGTCATGGCACTGGAGAGATGGGCACTTACCAAAGGGAAAAAAGGAGCAATCTGTTCTGCTCTGATTTTTGAAGCCAAGAACTGCAGCAGGTGAACAGCTGCTCCTCTGACACCCGAATCCTTGTCTGTAAACACAGCTGCCACCTCACTTATTATACTTGAAAGGTGTGCATCAATTACAAATGGATACTGAGACAGGAGATCTTTGAGCCCAAGAAGCGCGTTATGCTTCACCCCAGGACTATAGTGATGCATCTGTGAAAGCAGATCCTGAAAAGACAGACACGTACACACTTGCCATTATCGTGGATTTCAGCTCTTTAAAACTTCCCCACTTATTTCCAGCACGTTATTCTTAACCTCTCAAGAACACAGAATCTGCTCTTATGATGTACTGCTGCTCATTACATCGTACGTTCAGAACAAATGCCATATTAGTTTAGAGCATAAAAATTAACAAATCATCAAAAGCCAGTGACAGGGAAAACAAGATACCAGGACTTGTCCTTCAGCTAATTAGATATGCCTCATTCTTAAGGAGTTAAAGACTGACTTAACAGAGGGATGACCAAAGACAAGTCCTCTCACACCCGTTCTTAAAAGTAGAACTATGAAATCTCAATCTCAACAGCTTTCTTCAGTTTAAGCAGAGCGCTGCAAGAGACAGAAGACGATGCAAAGGAAGGAAAGCAGCAGCACCACCCAAAGACAGAGAAGATTTTTTTTTTAAAAAAACATCCTCTCAGGAACTCTACTTTTTAAACCTTGTCCTCAAGTTACGATCCAAGACTTTCATAAACTGAGTGTTAATCCTAGATACTTAAATCAGCGTGAAACTTCTGGGTTTGCACTGCTGAAAACCTTTCCCCTGGGTTATACGCTGGTCCAGCAACTGGAGTCATTAAATTCATGGGTCAGCTTACTGTCAAGACCGAAGAGGCTGTATTCAGATACTCTGTGGGGTTTTTCTAATTAATTTTTAAATAAATATTTTTTCCTAAGCTCCAGTAAACACAGCAAACCTAGATAAGCAACAAGCAATTGTCTGTCGTTTCAGAACGCAACGTCACAGGATACCTTTATGTTAAGTTTTCTATTTTGCGTTGGAAGCACTCCATCTTCTTTAAGCTGCTCAGGAATTTGTATGGCCTTTGTTTTGAAGGTAGTATCAGTTGCATTCTCTAGTTTAGGCTTTTTTTTCCCAACTTTTAATTTCACTTTCTGGAAATCTTCTTGATGTTTCCTTTTTTTAGTCATCCTGATTCTCTGCAAAAAGATATTCAGAACATTAATTTGATCAAATCACTATAAACAAATATTTTTTCCACCAAAGAGCCACAACTTCCTATCGAAGGCTACTGGTTTTATGCTTTACCCTACGCATAAACCAGTGTCCACTCCTGCACCAAGACGCTAGGCTAAGCGCACACGCAGACTGCTTCAGTACAGCTGGTTTTCTGGTGCCCAGAAAACATTCTGCTGCTCCTTTCACTGTCTTTGCTCTGAGAACTGTTTTACTGAAAAAGCCCATGACAGTATCTGCATCTTCCAGCGCTTTTTCAGATTCAGTTGTTGGCTTGGTTTTGTTTTAAAAAGTCCCTGCCAACAAAGGAATTTTAAAACATAGTTGACTCTTCTCAAGACAAAAGGAGCTCAGTGAACTGCTCTATTTCACTTGCACATTGGTCACCAGCTCCATCGTGAAGAGCACGCAGCCTGCACAGGTAAAACCACGGCTTTCATCAGGCTTTCGTGGGTAACCGCAGCGTACAAGGATCCAAGAACATTTCCACCACACGCTGAAAAGTCCAGTCTGCGCATTTAAAAAACTATAAAGAAGGGGCTGGGTGGGAAGAGGTTAAATGGGCACATCCAGAGTAAAAAGAGACTGAAAAACTAAGTTGTAATTAATAAGGCATAAGAAACAAGGTGGTGTGAGCAGCTGTACTTAGATGTACCAGAACAGATGTACAATAACCGAAACAAATCGAAACATCCACTTCAGCTCCTGAATGTCCTTTTGGCTTTGACATACCCGTACTGATGAAAGTACTCTGAATTGTACCAGATGTAAAACCAAAACACCAACAGACACCACACCACGGGTTTCTTTCCTTAATCTTCCTCGATCTCTGTACTTCTAAACCCATTCGTAACGAAACTCCAGAAGCTGATCTCACCACGCTCAACACACAAACTGCACCCGGATTTCTGCTAGTTAAGACCGTGAATCCACAGTCTGACGACTCCTAGAAGTGGCTGTAGAGATCACTTACAATATAAAAGTGGGGGTGGACAAGCACAAAGCCATTATGACATTGAGGTTTAACATCTAACAACTTTCTAACGGTAACTGGTAACCTATAGAGCTGGAAATCCAAATACTTCCAGGCTTCAACGTAGGCAGGATAAAGCCCCTGTTGTCAGGGATGTGAACTTTTTGTTTCCTCTCTCTTTCAAACTGCTCTTTTTTAACCAGGTTTTGCACATTCTTAATACCGGAACCATACAAAACCGTTGTGAACACAACGTCCCAATTTTAAAGACCAAACTACCGAAGAAAAAACAAATACAGCTGACTAAACGCAGAAATTTCTAAACAAAATCTCCCAACAATGATTCTTTTACAGTGGGTATGAGCACCATTCACTCTAGAAAACAGAATTCTACAGCTGGTTTTCCCAATGGACTTCAAACTGTAAATCTGTGCTGTATTACAGTATTTCACACACACATCATCAGGATAATCATCAAAGAATGGTTTAAATCCAATTGTCATCTTCCATTCTTTTAAAACAACTTAAAAAACTGATTATACAAACATTTGACTACAACTTAATCTCTGCTTTTCACACGCTAGCTTAGAACAGCTCTACACAAGACCACTCTAACTGAAGCCTGAGTTTAGCATAAGTAACCCACCAACTGAGAGGGCTTTAAGCATACTTGGGGTTTAGTGCCAAAATAAAAAGGTCCTTTAGTGCCCAACTATAACAACTACGGTTTCATACGCTTCTAATTTTCACCATAGGCACCTTTTAGGGAAGAATTACAACGAGATCTTCATTACTTGGTTGCAAGACATACAGAAATAGCTAGAAGCTTTTGACTTGAATGTTATTCCCACTTAGGAAACTTGCTTTAATGGGGATATTTAGGAAGCCTCGCTCTACAAGATGAAGTGTTTGGCTTCCAACTAGCATTAAAAACTTTACAATGCAGGTATGCACACACCTGAACAAGATCAATTAAGCTCTTTTAAAGGAGGAGGCTTATAAAAGATACTTTCTCCTACTAAACCAAGGCAGCACAGTTTGTCTTGCACTGTATGTTTTGGAAATAATTTACTGGGAATCTAAACATTTCCATTTCACACGCACCACGCTAAATATGAGATAAAACAGTGACAAACCCAAGCAAAAACACACACAGTGTCTCATAATAAGATGTTAAGCAAAACCCTACACGGCTTATGAAGGTACGTAAATATTTTAATGGAACTTCTTACTGAAACGACTCTTTGCCTTTTGACTCCAGCTGTATTTTCGGCTGGCCCTCCTCCAACAGGACTGAGTGGAGCACACCTAACAATTCGTGCACCGCTCACAGTTTTACAATCCAAAACACTGAAATAGCCTCAAATCAACACTGGCTTCCTCGAACAGACAGCTGTACACAGCGCTTTTCAGGGGTCACCCAGCCATCCTTGCCTCAGGCTTAGGGAAACAAAAGGGGAACCAAAAGGAGCCAAATATCCTCAGGGGTCACCCGGCCATCCTTGCCTCAGGCTTAGGGAAACAAAAGGGGAACCAAAAGGAGCCAAATATCCTCAGGGGTCACCCGGGCATCCTTGCCTCAGGCCTAGGGGAACTAGAAGGAGCCAAATACCCTCAGGGGTCAC